TACCTTACTGCTGTTACATCCTTATTCAGTACAACTTCGCCCTCAAATCCTCCGACGTAGCGTGAGTGACACACACTGCAATGGTAACTACTTTCAGTCTAACGCTATTCAAGCGACATTCCAGAACACCTGTTCCAGTCAATGTAGCTTGCTGAGTTATTGGGATATGCAGGGTAGCAGCTATCGGTGAGGAGAGATATGACTGATTCAAGATTATTATTATCATTATTGTTTCCTTTAATTCCTAGAGGAACACAGGGCTTCAGCCGTGCGTCTCCATTACGTTCGGTTCTCTGCTAGAGTTTTCACCTAGCACCAAGTCTGCCCACATACTTTCATCTCCTCTTCACATGACCTCCAAGTTACCCTTGGACGACCAACTCGCCTCTTCCCTTTCGGGTTCCACTCGAGCAATGGCTTGTCTAGTGATGTCACTTGATGGTTTCCTCAGAGTATGGCCAATCCATCTCCATTTCTTCCTTCCTATTTGTTTCACAATCGGTTCCTGGTTGGTTTGCTCCCAGAGATCCCACCCTGTTGCTGATCTTTCCTGACCGGGCATCTGATCTTGAGTATTGAGCGAAGACAACTGTTAATGAAGGTCTGTAGTTTGTTTGAGATGCTCTTTATGACGCGCAGTGCAAGTCTGTGATCCGTATAGTAGCACTGACTGACTTCACATCGGAGTTGAAAATCCGGATCACTGCCACCAATCACTAGTTGATTGAAGGCGCAGAAGTCGGTGAAGAGTTCTCCGTTTTCATTCATTTCTCCGAGAGCTTCTCTACCCATGATGAGTTCCCTTCCTGTGTTGTCTGATCCCAGTTTGGCGTTCATGTCTCCCATTAGTTTTTTAATGTCACTGACTGGAGTATTGTCCATTGTTGCCTGTAGTTGTCTGTAGAATTCTTCTTCCTTTTCGAGGTCTGCGTTGTTTGTCGGTGCATAGCATTGTATAACTGACACTTTCCTTCCTTTGGAGTTGAATCTGGGTGAGATCGCCTCCCATTGCATCATGGCCTTCGTTGCCGTTGGTGACATCATGATAGCCACGCCCTTGGTGTGCATGTGGTCATCCTCTGGGTGACCGGAGTAGATCACTGACTCACCCGTTGACAATTTGGTGAGTCCATTCCCGTTCCATCTGCTTTCATATATCCCCAGTATTTGAATTCCATATCTTTTCATTTCGTTTGCGATCTGGGCAGCTTTGCCAATCTCGTACATGGTGCGGACATTACATGTCCCCACAGAGACTTTTTCTTTTGGCGCTAGGAGATTCATCGTGCTGAAGTTTCTGTAGCAACTTTGTTTTCAGGGTGGGGTTGCTAGCCTCACGCCTTAGGAGGGGAGAGAGAAAGGTTAGTGTTGCGTGACCGCAGAGCGCAGGGGACAACTGCTTGAGGCCGGTCACACGCGGCCTGTTTTTGTTTGTTCTTTCTTGTTTGGTGTGTCTCAGTAGCGTACTTATCACTTCTGCCCTGTGACACAGCAGCAGGAAGCGCGGTGGTTGTTATTCCGGGCCCCGACCGATCCGGCATGATATTTTGTGATTTATTTGAAATCATAGGATTGGATTGGGTAACTGCTTTTAGTCTAACTGCTATCCAAACAACCTTTCTGGCATGGTAGGACCTGCAGGAACATAAGTTCCAGCCAGTATAGCTTGTTGGGTCATTGCAGTGTTCAAGCCCGACCACCACGTCAAGGTAGCAGCTATCGGTCGGGGCTGATTCAAGAAACAATGTAGAATTTTGCATACAAACGCCTCAATTTAAGTTGTCTTATATCTGAAAAACGCATGAAAGTTGCAAACGTTAATGTAACTTCAATACACGTAGATGTAAGGAGGCGAGAATATTATTTGGTTATAGGTGGCCCACAGTGAAATTCAGGATACAGCGCAGTATAAATTAACCAACAGGAAATAAAAACTGATTTAAACAAGAAAGAGAGAATGATTAATAATTTTAGAATCTGGAAAATGAGCATTTTGAACGATTACGAATCAGATGTCATCCAGGGTCTCCGACCATGGTTACTTAACGTTTTCAGAATTTCATCCAGTCAGTATGAACTTCTCTGCGTGGCTCAAGCCGATTGTCATTGAGTTCATCAGTTGACATTTTGTTTCGATTTAACTGCTTTCAATACTTTTCTAACTTCATTGTACTTCAGCTAACGTTGTTCCTCAAAGAAGTGGGTGAATCGACATGTGTATCATCTAACCTGACATCCATTTCTGTAATCTTATAGATTGGATTAAAGTACACACATTACTTGTTTTCCTTTTGTCTCATTCTCACCTCTTCTACTAGTGAAACCGTCTTATTTAACTTACTTTAGTGCTCTCTTTTTTTTTTAATAAAATAAATGTTTGGTTGATTGTTTGATTGATTGTACCGCAAAAATACCTTACATTAATCAGGAAAACTGTTCATGAGATATTATTCTCTGAAAGTATTCATATTATTATTATTATTATTATTTCAGTTCCTTTAGTTATAATTATAGTAACTGATCGTGTTATCTTACTTTTCAGCTATCTTCTATCTCACCTGATAGCTATTGAAAGAATTCTGCGTTCACTTTCCATGAGTGAATGAGACACCAACAAAGTATATGACAGTGTAACATGAATTCATGTTTCTCGTTAATGTTTCATTCATCCAATTGTAAAATGAACGAGTTATAGAATAAATTATCAAAAAAAACAAAAAAAGAAAATGTATAGCTATATCATAGGTTGAGAATTTTTTACTGTTTATTTTGACATTTAGTTATTCAAGTGTCATCATTTACACTAGTCAGAAATCAGTCACCTACACATTCATGTATGAGTCACAAACTCTCTGACCGAAGGAAAAGTCGTGAAGGTTATAAAGTCGATAACAGCTCTGAAAGTAGCAGGACTAGATAAAATCTTCCCGGTATGCACTCAAAATGAACTCAGAGACCTCAATGGACATGCTTATGCTACTACTGAGAAAGGTGTGGAAAGAGGATTGGTTGTCTTGTGAAACTGCTTCAGAAGTTTGACTTCAGACTACACAAGAACAAGCGTAAGCTCATGTTCCTATCCACTCCAAACAAAATATTAAGCCCTTATCATCCTGGAAATCCCAAACGTAGGATTTAAGAATTCGCCTGGAATAGGCTGGATTCAGGTAAAATAAGTCATAAGTAGATTGCCACGGAGCCGGCTAAAGATGATGCCAGAGACTCAAATGCATTGGAGATGTGCAGCTTTAGCTCCATGTTTCACTCATAACTCAAGGAGCCAATTAAAATCAAATAATAAGAATCTAATAAATATTAACGAAAGTTATTTTACTGTTGAACGTCTACAATAATTCAGAGTTAATCACTCCTTCATAATCTCTACAATTTATAAACAACCTAATTCAACAATTTACCTCTCATATAACATGTTGAAAAGTTCAGTTTGTCGCTTCATTACCGAGGTACATCAGATTATGAGGTTCCTCAACTAATATTTACAATCCTACACTGGTAGACGTCAATCACCACAGATAATTAGCCTGACAGTTTGTCAATCGATTTTCACCTTATTTTCGTTAACTTGATTGTTAACAGTCGAACTGTCTTATGAATTTCTTTATTATTCTTGTGTAAACGCCTACCGTATGGCGTCTTTAACCTCATTTGATTATTACTGCATTCTCTCTATACGTATTTACGTATGACTGATTAGACACTTTATTTTACACTTTAATAGCAATGCGTATTTTTCCCTCCTTTATTTGAAGAGTAATTATTTCTTACCCATTACTGCTCTACTAATGCAGTGCTTTTGTATTTTAGGTACAAGCAGTTTAAATATAAGTTACCAGGTTTGTAACTGTGTCACATCTGAGATACTGATGTCACCATTATAATAATTGTGGGTTAATTAAAACTTACAGATTGTAAGCAATTAACAATAAATAATGTTATCAAACCATGAAGTCCCTGATTTTTGATTTGAGCCACATGAGTACCTGTGTAGACTGACTAATTTTTCACAGAAGCGCAGCAGTCGCAGTTCACAAACTCCTTACACCACACAAAGGCAGAGTAAAAATTCAAAATACTTATAATGAGCAGAAAAGTGCAGAAGACAGAACATGAGACTTAAATGGATATGGAAGATGACAAAGAGTGAATGCATCCGCGTCATTCAGAACAATTCTGAGTCATACCACCAATAGTCTCTAGTCATTGGTTCTTATCACTCCGAGGTCTGCTTTCCTACTTTACTGACTCGAATCAACTGTCAAAGACTTTGTGATCTAATGCCATGTTTTGATCAGACCACCTCTAACTCTTTTCCAAACTAATTTTAGGTTAGCTTTACTGATCGAGAAAGTCGATGGCTAGGGATGTGTAACATATGTCCTAACCATCTCATTTGGTGTAGCTTCACAACCTCATCGATTGACTTACACCTCTTATCCAACAGTCGACACCTAACCTCAACACTACTCACCTTATTATACCGCTCAACATGGGAGACAGAGCACAAACATCTGTTTTCAAAGACAGCTAGTCTTTTCGTGTCTTCCGTAAAGGAGAATAAAGTGAATTGTTCTGCAGTATACATGTTTTTTGGTAAATAGCTAGATATCACATGTATAGACTAACTGACTAAGAGTTTGCTCTTGGAGACTTTTTGTGTCTTTATCCAGAATCGTTCAAAATGGTGCAGGTTCATGCATTCCTTTCCATTTTTCACATTCTGTAAGTCTTCACCAGTCTTCAATCTGATCTTCACTCTCCCGTATACCTTGAATCTCTGTAATCTCATTACACTTTCTTTTTACTTTTGTTGTATGTTTTTCTGAATTGTTGTAATTTGAAACTAATGCACTTGTATGGGAAGCTCTGTGTTTTGAAGTCTGTCAGCAGATGGCATACTCTTTTCATTTATTATAATCTGTTACTTACTCCTTCTGTAAGTTTATATTTCTATTATTTGTTTGTTTATTTATCATTATTAGGTTATTTTCAGGGTATGAATGATTTACTTGCGTTAATTCTTTATGTCGTAAAGGATGAAGAGGATTCTTTCTGGTGTTTTGTTGGTCTAATGAATAGACTTGTAAGTTCTTTCGTAATGTTAAATTAGCAGTATGTTCTTGGAATAATATGTGTGTAACTGATTTGTGATCAATTATTTCATCTCTATTGCTTCCCCTTCATCCGTTCGTATCTTAATTTCTGTATAATTTACCAAGGATAGCAAGTATCAGGGAATTTGTTGAAGTATGTTTGTATGCAGCTTAAGAGATGTGCCGATGAAATAAAATGGATCCACATGTTCATGAGCTTATTCTTTTAAAACATTAAGACATACTGGTAGTTTGTATTTTGTTTTATGTAGAATCTAGGCACTGTAGTAGAATGTAATTCCATATTATTATTATTATTTCCTTTAATTCCTAGAGGAACACAGGGCTTCAGCCGTGCGTCTCCATTACGTTCGGTTCTCTGCTAGAGTTTTCACCTAGCACCAAGTCTGCCCACATACTTTCATCTCCTCTTCACATGACCTCCAAGTTACCCTTGGACGACCAACTCGCCTCTTCCCTTTCGGGTTCCACTCGAGCAATGGCTTGTCTAGTGATGTCACTTGATGGTTTCCTCAGAGTATGGCCAATCCATCTCCATTTCTTCCTTCCTATTTGTTTCACAATCGGTTCCTGGTTGGTTTGCTCCCAGAGATCCCACCCTGTTGCTGATCTTTCCTGACCGGGCATCTGATCTTGAGTATTGAGCGAAGACAACTGTTAATGAAGGTCTGTAGTTTGTTTGAGATGCTCTTTATGACGCGCAGTGCAAGTCTGTGATCCGTATAGTAGCACTGACTGACTTCACATTAGAGTTGAAAATCCGGATCTTATTTTTGATGCTGAGTGCTGTTGACCTTCACACAGACTTGAGAGTAATGAAAGCTTGTCTTGCTTTTCCGATTCTTGCTTTGATATCCTCGTCAGTTCCGTCCGCCTGTAGTTGAAACGATGCTCCCCAGATGGGTGGGTAGGTAAAGTAAGTTGTTTCTTTCAGGTTCCTCCCATTTATGCTGATTGTTGTCTGTTGTTGTTGGTGGTGTTGGCCAGGAATCTTCATCACCTCTGTTTTCTCTATGTTCACCTGAAGTCCTATCTTCTCTGGATGCTTCTTCTGCCAACTTGTTGCTTTTCACTTGCGTATCTTCCAGTTTGTGGGAAATCAGACATATATCATCGGTGAAGTCCAGATCCTCCAAGTTTTTTGTGTGAGTCCATTTTATGCCTGTTTCCTCATTGCCCGCTGTTTGTCGCATTATCCAGTCTCCTACAATCAGGAAAATCATTGGCGATAGTAGGCAGCCAGCCTTGACTTACTCCCGTCTTCACTACGAAGGATTCTGTAAGTTTCCCATTGTGGATTACTTGGCATGCAGCATTGTCGTACAGCTGTTGGATGAGATGTAATTCCATATTGGTTGAGTTTTTTTGATATAACATGCAGTGATGCAGTATTAATAATTGGATGACATTTTGAGCTATTTCAATGCATTAACTTGCATGTAGTCACACAGTAAGTTCGATGGTGTGGAAGTATTGAAGAAAACTAATATAGATGAGTGGGGAGAGAGAGGTAATCCCCTGAATCTGTGCTCATCGAATCAACAACAAACACGTGCAATCGAAATGACGCAATGCATATACTGGGTATATAGGAGATTACAATGAATTAAAAAGGGGAAAAGAAAAGAAGATATAAAGCAACTTGTGAAGCTGTGTGAATGATATGATTACGAGCAATAAATTGTGCTCGAAACGTCATCCTGTTATTAGTAGTGTATAACTGTGTGATTTTATCAAATAAACTTATCTAAGACGGAATATATATTTTGTTTGTACAATATATTCTTACTTCAACTATTCTTTTCTCATTGTCCACCTGGGTACTACATGTGCATCATGTTTATAGTTGGAGACGTCCTTTTGACGAAATATGTGGGATGCATAAAATGTATTACAACTTCGCATCCTTCCTGTGTGAAATCATCGGAGACTACAAAATAAAACAAGAAAAACCACCTCAAAATAGGTGTAGACGCTTGAATTATAAATTCCTCAAAGATTTCATCAGGATGTTTCTTAAACATCCTCAGTTGCATAGTGATAGTGCTAGTTTTACTACATCCTGTATACATGATTTTATTTCACAATTTGATGACGGTCACAGTATAAAGTAGTTATCCTTCAATGCTGTGTCTTTTGACGTTACTCTCGAATTGTTTTGTTTTTTCTGTCATCCAACTTTCTGTTATCAATGCTCTGCATATTTTCTTTTTGTATGAATTTATCTTAGTTGTGTAAATCACAGTTTACCGAAGGAACATGCTGCATAGTGATATAATACTATCAATATGATTCCCTTGGGTTCCTAGTGGAACATAGGACTTCAATTACACGTCTCCACTTGTTTCTGTCTTCTGCTGCACTTTCCACCTGCATCCATATTTCAGCTCCTCTTCCCACTATCTCCTCCATGTCACCTTTGGACGTCCCACTCGCCGCTTCCCTTTCGGGTTCCACTCGACGCGCGATGTCACCCAATGGCCTCCTCAGCGAGTGTCCAAACCCTCTCCACTTTCTCCTGCATATTTGTTGACCGATTGGTTCTTGTTTTGTTTGTTCCCATAGTTTCTTGTTGGTGATTCTTTCCGGCCATCTGATCTTCAGTATAGAACGAAGACAGTTGTTGATAAAGGTCTGCAACAGGCTGTTGGAAATATTCTTTGTGACCAGCCAAGTTTCTGATCCGTATAGAAGAAATCAACTGACGTTTGTATTGAAAATCCGAATTTTGTTGTTGATGTTGAGTGGCGAAGATTTCCAGATTTGTTTCAGGTGGATGAATGTGTTTCTCGCCTTTCCGATTCTCGATTTGACATCCTCATCCGTTCCTCTTGTAGTTGAGACAATGCTCCCTAGATAAGTGAATGAAGTAACCTCTTTCAAATCCCTTCCGTTGATGGTGATTGGCGTTGGATGTTGCTGTTGTTGGTTGGTTATTTTCATAACCTCCGTCTTGTCTATGTTCACCTGGAGTCCTGTCTTTGGTGCTTCTTCGATCAGTTTGTCGGTTTTCGCTTGTAAGTCTTCGATTTTGTGTGACATCAAACATAAATCATCCACGCGCGAAATCCAGGTCTTCTAGGTTCTTCACGTCCATCCAGGATATCCCTGTCTTCTCGTTTCCCACTGTCTGACGCATAATCCAGTCCACCACAATTAGGAATATCATTGGTGATAATAAGCACCCTTGTCTGACTCCTTTGTTTACTCCAAATACCTCGCTGTGCCATTGTCGTACAGCTGTTGAATAAGGTTGATGAATATTTGCGGTACGCCGTAGTACTCGAGTAGTTTCCAAATTACTTCGCGGTCAACGCTCTCTGGTGAAGGCCTTCTCAAAGTCTATAAAGTTGAGGTAGAGATTTGATTGACATTCCATGCTTTGTTCGATGATGATGCGTATAGATGCGATTTGGTCAGAACATGATTAGCTTTTCCTGAATCCAGCTTGTTCTGGTTGGAGTTCTGCATCGAGTGCGTCCTTTATTCTCTCCAGGATGATGCGACTCAGAATTTTACTTGGTGTCGACAAGAGCATGATTCCTCCCCAGTTCTTGCATAGTTCTAGGTCGCCTTTCTTTGGTAGTTTCACGAGGTAACCTTTCCTCCAGTCAGTAGGCACCTTTCCCTCCTTCCAGACCTTTTGCAATAATGGAGTCAGCATATCTGCTGTCGTCTGTGGGTCCGCTTTTAGTGCTTCAGGGGATATTCCATCTGGACCAGCTGCTTTTCCAGCTTTCAGAAGCTTGATTGCATTCAAGACTTCAGCTTCCGTTGGAGGATTGGTGTCAACTCGCAGTTGTGTACGTGATGTTTTTAGTATTTCTGGATGGGTTGCAGGTGGTGGTCTGTTCAAGAGTCCTTTGAAGTGATCCGCCCATTGTTTAATCTGTCTTTCTTCCTTGGTAATTGGGTTCCCTTGGCTGTCTTTGATAGGTTTCACTTGTGTTGATCTCTTCCCGGATAGAGACTTGGTTATCTGATATAGTGTCCTCAGGTCCGTTTTGCCTGCTGCCTTCTCAGCTTCAGTGGCCAGGTTGTCGTAGAATTGTCTTTTGTCCTTCCTGGCACTCTTCTTCACTTCTTTGTCCAGTGCTGTGTAAGTTGAACTCAGAGTCTCCTTCTCTTGTCCGTCTTTGCATTGAATCACTTTCTCTTTCATCATTCTCCTCTCCTCTATTAGCTTCCAAGTGTCCGTTGAGAGCCATTCCTTGTCTTGTCTCTTCTTTCTTCCTAAAACCGTTGAACACGTTTCGTTAAAATTCACCTTCAGAGAGTTCCAATGGTCTTCCACACATGATTCCTCAGTGATGTCACGTAGTGTCTCCTGCTTTGCTCTGACGGTTGCAGTGAAAGTGTCCTATGTGATTGTGTCCTTCAGTTTTTGAGTGTTGAACTTGCATTGTGGCCTATCTCCAGCTATTCTCGAGGCTTTTAGCTTCACCTTGAAAGTCCCTTGTACTAGATAGTGGTCTGTACGCACATCTGCTCCTCTCCTCGACTTTGTGTCCAGTAGGCTCCGTCTCCACTTCCTTGAGATTAGAATGAAGTCTATCTGGTTTTTGGTGTGTCCATCTGGTGAAATCCATGTCGCCTTGTGTATATCCTTGTGTTTGAACACACTGCCACCAATCAGCAAATCATTGAAGGCGCAGGAGTCTGAGAAGAGTTGACCATTGTCGTTCATTTCACCGAGGGCGTCACGACCCATGGTGAGTTCTCTTCCTGTATTGTCTCCTCCCAGTTTCGCATTCATATCACCCATCAGGATTTCGATATCGCCATTTGGGATGTTGTCCATTACTGCTTGTAGTTGTCTGTAGAAATCCTCTTTCTTCTCTTGTTCTGAGACGTTCGTAGGCGCATAGCACTGAATGATTGTAACCTTCCTTCCTTTTGAGTTGAACCTGTCTGTCACTATCCTGGAGGAGATTAGTTCTCACTGCATGAGAGCTTTGGCTGCCACTGGTGACATCATGATGGCCACTCCCTCGGTGCGCTCGTGATTGTCCTCCTGGTGACTGGAATAGATTACTGTCTCTCCAGTTGATAGTTGGCACCTTCCACATCCGTTCCATCTGCTCTCGCACATTTCCAACACTTCTATTTTATATCTTCTCATTTCTGCGACTACCTGGGCAGTCTTTCCAGTTTCGTACATTGTACGAACATTCCACGTCCCCATCCTTATTTTTGCTTTCATCGAAAGGAGGCATATCGTCTGACTGGCTTCCCGAAGGCTTTCACCAGCCTGCGTCATTTCACTTCCCCGATTCCAGCGAAAAATAAGGTTATTGTTTATGTATTTAGTATTTTTAATATATTTATGCGTTGAAGTTTCTGTAGCAATTTGGTTAAGTTTTGGGGGTGGAGTTGCTGACACCACGCCTCGACCCTCCCTCTTTATCCGGGCTTGGGACGGGCTAGAAAACTAGTGAGCTAGTAATCTACGCTAGGTTATTTTATCATATCATACTGCTCTACATTATTTGCTTTTCGATAATAGATCTTAGTTGTTTGCTGATACGAATGAACTTTGTGAATATTATGACAGTGTGGGGTGAGGTGATAACTACAGTTGTAAAAGAGGCCTAAGATAGCTGTGAATTATTTCCTCTAGGTCATCAACCTGATAATGCGGCGATTTACTAATCCATGTGCTAACTGAGTTTTAATTTAACTGTGTTCTCTGAGTTGGCTGATTTAATTGCGAAGCTTTCGTTGTCCTTCTAGACAATATCTTTTGCTCAGGTTTTAGAATGAAATGTACTTATTTGAACTCTCCATGAATGATATATTTGTATCTCGCAACGATGAATGCTTCGCAATTTAATCAACCACCTCAGAGGACACAACAAAATCAAAATCATCCACGTTAGGTGCAAATCTTCTCTATTAATTGAGTTTTAATTTCTCTTTGAATTACTTCAGTCATCATCAAGCCTGCTGTATCGGAGTTTGTTTTCTCTATTATGATTATTTCAGATGGTTTCGCCATGTGGATATACATTTTTATGTATTTGTTTTATTGCTTTTACTCAAGGAATCCAACTTTGATGGAGAGTTAAATGCTGTAAGAGAACAGTTCAATCAGTTATTTTCGCTAATTGAAATAGTTGATCCTGCATTCAGCGAATACCTTGGTAAGTAGTGTTTTTATTACTATTACTATTACTATTATTATTATTATTATTATTATTATTATTATTATTATTATAACTTTTCTGTTGTTAGTAATATAGAGATGCAGTGTATGCTATGCCTAAACCTTTATAGGTTACGGTACGTCTTCAGATTGATTGGCTGTCTAAAACATGAAGGTTCACTCTTCTCAGAACTAGCCTATCATTGCTTGTAAAGTGCAGTATTAGTTGTCGATAAACGTCTGTCTGTTTTCAACATGGAACTTTGCACCGATGTGCAGCAGTTCAAGTTGCCACACTCTATGTAGTGCACAAAACAAGAGAAGAAAGTAGAAGAAATGCAAAATAGAGACAGTAGACAGGGATATCAGACGAAAGGAATGGTAATAACGAAGAACAATATAGTTTCACTGGAAATTATAAGTCACAAGGAATGGATGCATCTGCACCATTGAAAATGATTTTGAGCCATATCACCAATTGTCTCCAGTCATTGGTTTTTGCCCTCCCGAGGACTCCAACCAGGAAGTCTACACCTTCCTACGTGGCTTAAACTAACTGTTGTTGATTTCACTGACTGGTGCCATGTTTTGATTTGACCACCGCTAACTCTTCTCCAGCCTGACCCTATGTCAGCTAACATTGCCCGTCGAGGAAGGCAGTAGCTAGTAGACATGAATACGTAACACATATCCTAATCATCTCAGTCGATGTAGCTTCACAGCCTCGTCGATTGATTTCCCCTCCTTACCTATCACTTAACCGAAGTCTAACCTCTATATTGCTCACCCTATTATACCACCTAACATGGGAGATAAAACGCAGACACCTATGACCAAAGACAGCTAGTTTTTCATGTCTTCCACTTTCAATAGCCATGTCTCACAACCATGAAAGAGGACAAAGCGGACTGCTGAGCAGTACACACGCCCTTCGGTCGACAGCCAGTCGGATATCACGTCTACGAAGCCAGAGACGGCGTAAACTGGCTTATGCGAAACTAGCCCTCTTTATCCTTGCTGAGATTTCGTCGGCGATCAACCAGTTGGTGCTGGCTGATTCAGCTTCCCAAATAAGTGAAGCGGTCAACGTGCTCTACCACTTTACTCCCTATTTCTAGGCTAGGAGTCTGTGTAGTCCAGTCCTGTAACCTCATCATCTTACATTTGACAGCAGGCAAACATTCGTACATTGCAACTCAAGGTGTTTAGATGACTCTGCATTTTGTCAGCGTTTTCACCTAGAAGGACTATTTCATCTGCATATTCTAAGTCAACGAGAATATTCCCTGGTAACAAGTTAATCCCTGCGTCTCTGAAGTGAGTTAGTGTTAATTTCATTAGTACACATACGACGATATTAAACAGAAATGGGGATTGTAGGCATCCCTGACGGACGCCACTAGTTGTCACCACTTCAGATGACATCTCGCCGTAAGCTCTCACCTGGCTGACCAAATGAGTTCGAGTAGAGTGCCTTGATCAGCACAATGTATTTTCTCGGCCTTCTCTTTACAGCCAAGCATCACCATAGTACCTCTCGCTCGGCAGAATCTAATGCCACCTTAAGGTCAAGAAATACATTGATTGTTGGACACCGGTAAGTATGCCTATGTTTCAGAATCTGTCGGAAGGTGAAGATATGATCAATATACCCTCTTCCAGGTCCAAAGCCTGCCTGGTTCTCTTGTTTGTTCCTCCCGTGGACCGCTTAGTTTACGCACTATTATTGAACCTAGGACTTTAGATACCATATTAGTCAAGCTAATCCCCCTGTGATTATCAGAAGAAGACTTGTCTCCCTTCTTGTATATCGGGATAACCAATGACTTACACCAACCCGATGGGACATTCTTTGATTCCAAGACGCTGCATAGTACCTCAGTTAACGCAGACAGTAAACTGTCTCCACCGTACTTAAATACTTCTGGAGTTATTCCACCAGTTCCTGCTACTTTGCCTCGTTTCAGACTAGTGACAGCCTTAGTATTTTCAGTTAGGGACGAAGCACCTGTGTCTATTATCCATTCAGGGAGGTGTTGGATGTTCGGTAAGTTGAGTGTGGCTGCAGGCCAATTGAATTGCTCCTCAAAGTGTTCTTTTCAGCGGTCCAGTTATCTATCCCGGGAGCTAATTGTGGTGCCATTGTTCTCAGAGATTGTTTCACTTTTCGTTTGCCTTTTACCACCTGTTTCCCTGATAAGTCTAAACAGTTGTCTGGTGCTAACAAGTGCCGATGTCTTCTCCATCTCTTTCGCTTTTGTCGCCCACCACTGTTCACGGTCATTACAAAGACTTCTTGTTAGTTTGCGTTTGAGTAGCTTTCGCTTCTCATCATAATCGGAGCTTACCAGAATCAGTCTTCTTGCGTCAATCAGTTCGGGTGAGGTGGTAGAGATCCAATGACTCTTACTAACTTTAGGTTTCAGGTTATTAACAGCTTTTACAGCTGTGTCTACAGCTAACTGTATGTTGTGTCAGGCTACCTCAGGGGAAGTCCTGCTGTCGGCCTCAGATATACGTTTCGATAGTTCTTCCTTATATAGGGACTCGGATTCTCGATTTAGTTGGAGATGTGACTTTCGCTACCAGCAATTTCTTATGTCCGTTTAGTCCTAAGCATAAACGTGCGCGGACCAGAGCGTGATCGGAGTCTGCGCACGTGTTCCAGTAGGAGTAGCAGTCTTCTACTGACCCTCGCCAACGATTCCCTATCGCTATGTGGTCTATCTGGGTCCAGCGTTGATTTAGTGATGGAGATCGCCAGGTTACGCAGTGTCTCTCTTTGTGCCTACAGTTAGCGCTGACTAGAGACAGATGATTATCTGGACAGAACTGTAGAAGACAATCACCGTTGTCGGTTCGTCGGCAGGGAATTCCATACGTACCACCTACATACTTCTCAGTCTGGCACAACTTCCCTACTTGGGCATTGAAGTCGCCTGTTAAAACAACTATATCTGAACGTCTTGCTTTTTGCAGAAAATTAGACATTTTCAGGTAGAAGTCATCCTTCAGTTCATCTGAACTGCAATCTGTTGGGGCGTAAGCGGAGACTACGCAAAGGCAACGACGGATGACGCCGTCCTTCCTTCGTTTAACGGACCCATTCACATGGATCGCACACATATGACTATCTACTGGGATCCAGTCAAAAAGTTATTTTTCTGCCCTAACACTCAATGCTATCCCTACACCTGTGAGTCCTCGCGAACTAGCTTAGGGGTCTTCTGCCACCCTTAAAGTGAATTTTGCAGATTCACCGTGTTGACCGGGTGAGGTTAAGTGAATGACCACACTCAGGTCTTGTATGTGTGTCTCGGAAATACCGCATACATCCATGGCTCGAGCTGCCAGAGTTCTTGCTACTGATGCCTGTTGTCCGATTTGGCAGAGGGTCCTGACGTTGAATGCTCCTATGTGAAGTTGGCGACGTGGCTTTAAGAGGCTGTCTGGGGTGTTTCTATGGCTGTGATCGTTGTTTGTGGTGACAGGGTGAAGTGAAGATGCCTCACTAACTTGAAGAATAGTACTAACTGTAGTAGGGGGGGGGGAAGGTGATAAAGGTGATGTGGGTAGAGGAGAATGATGCTCAGGAAGGCTTTGTGTGCTTTTGGAAGTGTGTGTGTGAGGAGAACACCTTACTGCTGTTACATCTCTCTTCCTCATCAGTACGACTTCACCTACAGACCGCCAGCATAGTGTAAAAAAAACTCTTACACTAAGCCGGTAACTGCTTTTAGTCTGATCGGTATCCTAATAACCTTGGTTGCATGGTAGGACCTGCAGGAACAGTAGTTCCGACCAGTGTAGCTTATTGGGTCATTGTGATATGTTAGCCCGAACACCACGTCAAGGTAGCAGCTATCGGTTGGGAAGTTATTCATCACGTATATCGACGTGATTTTGTATTTCGGTGCATTATATCTTAGGAATTCATACAGGAGTTAGCGTGATTGTCACACACTCCACACTAATTTGCTTATTGGATATATTACATAGCGGAACGGTATTACTAAGTGGATGAAGTTTCGAACACAATTTACTGTTCATAATCACATCAATCGAAATCACACAACTGCAAAACTCGCGTTTTATTGTTGTATTTACTCCTTTTCATTTGTCTTAGTGGCAGTAGAATTATTCGAATGACCGGGACAGGTGTTGAATCATTCCTCTTGTATGTATTTTCACTTCATTTGATACATAATGCTTCCGTTATCAATCTCTCCCTCCATCCTGTTATCTTAAATTTTAAGACTTTATAAACTAAATTATTCTGCGTAATGATCTCCATACAATCCTTTGAACGAAATAATTAGTTCCCAAGTGAGTTTTTGAGTGTGAGTGACACTTTTCTTACTTGTTAAGAGTCTTGAGTAAGAGTTCCACAGTATTCTCTTTGTGTGATAGCACTACTGACTTTCAAATTTCATCATCTTGCTGTTGTAACTTTTCAGTGTTTCACCTTCACATCGTCCTTATCATTGTTATTGTTATTCCTATGATTTTTCGTTTACTTCCTGACTAGTTTATCAAGAAAACTATTAAGTGCTTGAGCTTCTCTTATATGTTTAATCTTTTTCCATGGGTTTTCTCTAGTCTAATTTAGTTTTTCTGACTTTTAACTCAAACAGTTTACTAATTTTATTTCCACTGGTTTGGACTTAGAATGAGCAGAAATCTACACATTAGTTTAATTGTGTGATATATCCAAAAACAAAAGGCTTCTGTCGATGTTATATTAATTCTAAATTTAAATGTTGGTTATCAAGGTAAGTTTTGTAATGGACATAGCTAGCATTTCGATACAAACAAATATCCTTTACAGACTAAAGACGACAATCAGTACTACATCTGTCCTCCCAGGCATTTTATTTGTAGTAAGTGCAACTACATTTTATACACACGTGAAGTCTATTGCATTTTTTAAAATTTAAATAAGGACTGCGATTTTATGTGCGGAACACCTTTATTATGCATTTCTATGATTTATAAATTAATATCCACTTCGTTTTCTTTGTTTTTCCCGAACAATATACAAAACTATGTATTCTAGAAATGAAAAGTGCCAAAGAAATGCCATTCTGTTTTCGTTGGTTGCTAATTCATTTTAAAAGAGAATTTTCCTACAATGATACTATGATATTATGGGAGGTATGTTTCATTGTTGCATTTGTAATAATTGTTGATTAATTATTGTCAACGAATCAATACTAAGTATAGAATTGTGTGGATTATTTCTCCTCCTTTGAAAGAAGACAGAAAGCATAGTGATATGACGATGTCTCTTATGAATCTCTGTCAGTTGCCATGCACATTCTGTCCATCAACTGCTTACATTTAATATCGTATTACAGTGCACAATAGTTTGCTGACAATAATTAGCTTCGTGATCACACATCACGTTTAAGAATAGACAGCTAACAAACTACTTTTGCACCATACAGTGATCTGTTTGCGTGTTAACTATAAGAAATTTTTACCAAGGCCTTTCAGCAACCAGTAGTTACTGTACAATCGTGATTTGTTCATCTATGAGGTATGGATGTTGAAGGTGTTTTCGCTCCATTTATCGTCTGTTAGACTAACTTTTGCTCCCGACTTGCTATTGGTTTCACTTGTTTCAAGAATGCTGTACAAACCCTTGTAAAGTTAGGAGGTATTCTGAGTTGGAAACGTTTTGATTCCTGCACAACTCCGGGGTTATTTGCATTATCCACGTTTGAGTCAGTATCAATTCTTCCACTTTAGTGTAGGCTAACTAAAGATTCATACAGACTATGTTTATTTCCACTGGATATGATTGCTTCAGGACACCGTTTCAGACCTTATAAGTTGAATGACAATAACTCCTAAATGACTTGCAAAACTACTATCAGTGTAAACCAGTAGTTTTCAGCAACTAGCTGAATATATATGTAAGATTGTGGAGCTAATTTTGATAAAATATGCTGCAACATCGACACCGATTTCAACCTCATGGAGATTTATTGTCACCGGAAATGTGATTCAGTTGGCTTATTTGCATTTTGAATTCGCAACTGAAGATAGACTTTGTGGGCTTCCAAGATAGATTTTGCACCGTCGATACATTTCAGATAGTTTCAGCAAAGGTGGGATTAGAAATGAAGGCTGGTAGATGTTTCCGAGTCATTTTTGTGTGTACACTGAGTCAGTAATTTACAGCAGTAGCGGTAATAATATCATACATAATAGCGTAACTTACCATCTAGTACTGCGCCGACCTATTCCTACAGTTAGGTAGTGCTCAAGGAGAATTATTGTGGGATCGATGTTTTGTACTTAATCCTGTTAGTGATCAAATGTGAAACCACCTAAAAGTTAAAAAAGTGGTAATCTTCATAATACTTTGAGGTGATTGACTGAATGTATCTGTGTATGAATTTGAATGGTATTAATGTTACAGTTCGAAGTGTTTAAAGGGATGACTTTGAACTCCATTTTGAGATTACTGTTACCATGGGTGTTTTTCTCATCATTGTGTTACTGGAGCTCACCGGCAGACGTATGGACAAAGGGCTTGTTGGCTGTCCTGGATGTCTGGCCCCATTCAGAAAGGCGTATGAACTGAACTCCGGTCACCGGCTGCCAATGGATAGTGGACTCCCTACTCCACTCCTACTGCCTTGTAGCTCACACTTGGTTGTGTAAAGGCTAGAGCTGCACTCTCAAACAAAGGGCTGAGCGATCCTGGGGACATCGCTCGTACCAAATTCCCATGAAACTTCATGAACTCGCTAAAAAAAGACTCTCACCATGCTACGGCGTTCCCGGTAAGCGACGCGCCCTGTGCTCACCCGGTGGCCAGTGTGAAAACATGGCTTGGTACAGTCAAGGCTGATATGGAGTGCCTGGGGCTACAAACCGTCTACGGACTCCGTCTGTGGAACAAGAATTGGATAACCCTGTTGCAAAACCCTGCATCAGATCGCCGCTCCTGGGCAGCGATGATTCGAGATGTTCTTCAAGCCGGCTCATCCTCCCGTAGGAGATAGCTGAAGTAAACTAAGTAAGTTACTGTCGTATGATCTTTACCATTTGGATTTTAGGACACACATTTCTGTCGAGTAACGGACTGAAGTCTATGCGTGTTTAGTCGCTTTCTCATAGGATTTCACGATTTCGGGTATTTTCTTCTATTCTCATTTAGGTAATTTGGACAGATTATCGTACAAAAAATTTCCATATATTTTTCGCTGCTGCTGTGCTATTAATGCAAAGAGATAATATAATGAACAGGAAATATGATGCAAATAGTATATTAAAGGTAAATTTGACCTTATTCAAATGTTTTACTGTTATTTATATTATTCAGACATAGTAAAACATTGATACGATACACTACACCAGATCTGAAAGTATTTTTTTTACTTGTAATGACTGATGGGTTGGTTAACGGTACTGTGGTGATGTGAATGACAGAATTTGTATAGCAGTTGAACTTTTATTATTCTAGCAAGTCAACGTCCATTGTGGGCAATTTAGGTTATTTTATTGGAAAATAACCAATTCAACTTTTGAAAATAAGGCCAACATTACAGTTATGGAAAAAAGGCGATCCAGACTATGGCTTATATTGATACTACTTTTGTTACAAACAGCCTAACGGTTTAACTATCTGATTGACTTGTCAACGTAGAACTTCACACAGAAGGTCAGTAGTTCAAGTTAGCACACTGTATATATAGCACACAAAGGTGAAGTAAATAAATTCAGGAGACTATAATGAACGGAGATGTATGGGAAAGATAATAAGTAAGTGGAAAGTAATGAGACTTTAATAGATCTTATAGTTCAAAGAGAGTGAATAAATCTGCAGCGTTGAGAACAATGGCTCAAACCAACTGTCAACGATTTCATGGATTGATGCCGAGTATTGGTTTAACCACTCCTAATTCTTTTCCGACCTAATCGTGTGCCAGCCAGCATTGCTCCTTGAGGTAGGCGATGGTGTGGTGTGCGCAACATGTGCCCTAACCATCTCAGTCTATGTAATTTCACAATGTCATCGATTGACTTGATTGACTTGTATGATACATTTACCTAACCGTGCAACTGAAATAGTTTCTACTTAACTGCTTTCTTCTTCTTCTCCTCGTCCTCGTCCTCGCCAACTTAGCATGTGAATGAATTATCAATGAAAATTCCACTAGAAGCATCCCTTAATTATGCTACAGCTTTACTGTCTCAGTTAGAACAAATTTCCGATTCTCTACCGAAATCCGTACGGAATATTATCCATGGACAGTCGTTGGCGATGTCTAGACATGTCAGTGAATCAAAACAGAAAGGAATCAATTGTCCAGATCCATCATCTATATACGACTATTCGCCGACACTATTAAATGAAGAATTAGAGGTGCTGATGGACAATGAAATGTATGATCCTAATAAAGATGTGACTAATCAGTCTATTCTAATGATTCCTTCTGATACTAATCGACAGTTTTTTCAGTGATTTTAATGAATTAACTAACTTGGTTATTATGCGAAACCAAGTGCATTATGTTATTGGATAACAAGTCATAATGTTTGCAGTGTATTATTCTTTTCTTTATAATCAGACTCATTATTTATTACAAAACTTATGTAATGTATTTCACACATCATATATATATATAAATTCCCATCATGTATTGACTAAAATGATTATGTTTCAACACCTTGATTACAAACTGAATTGAATAACTTGAGTTATGTTTTGCGAAATATTATATTACTTCTTGTATCATTTTGATTTTGCTTGATTGTTTTTGTTACAAAGTCAGTCTTTCTATTTGCCAAAAAGAAACGTAGTTTTCTGAACATTTCTCTACTTATCACATTGATATTTGTAAGCATACATACGAAGGTGACAGCAATCCCATACTGTTTATCTGAGCCGTGGGATGAGATGTAGGCTGTGCTTTTTAAGACGCTAAGTAAGAGTCAGAGTTTGGAGACTCTGTCAAGTGACATGGGATAATCTACAGTATCCGACATCTGTTCATCCCTTAATGTCGATGTTCCAATCAACACCACTGTCTGTCTGTTGTATTATTGTATTTCCCACACATTTTTGTTGTCTGAAGTGCCTTAACATTTCGGTTCTCTGCTGGTTTTCCGAAAAGTGACAACTTGGACTTATCACGTTGGTTTGTCTTTGCAGCTGTGTTTTAAGCATGAGTGATCGTATGCATACTGTTGTTGTATTTTGCTTAACTTCAGTGATTGATGTAATCTTAGCCTAGTCATCTGGAGTTTCTTCCACTAAGCTATGAAGTCTCTTTTCATTTAATATTTTAAAACAAGAAATAATGTGAGACTTCGTTCAGATATTAAGTCTCCACATGACTTGTCAAGCTGAGTATTTGATACATTGGATAATTTATATGAAATCGCAACTTTTCAATACATAGAGGTGGAGACAGGTACATCAAGATGTGAACAAGTTGCTGGGAAGTTTTACGTCTAATAGACGCTGGGTCAGCGGTTCATTAGTAGATATGGATCAGCGTCGGTGCATTATATCGTGTGTGTTATCGGTTAGATGGACATGCGTCGGAAACCGCAATGTATCCAGAGGTATTGTCAACACAAGGTGACTATCCCATTCAGTCCCTTCAGCGAGAAGTCATCATAGCTGATTGTTTTAGGGGATGTGTATTTATGCGAATGAGCAAAGAAAAGTGGTGAATACACAATATGGATCACTGGTCAGGTGGAGAAATAGTAGAGTTGGACACATTGAAGGCACCACGCTCTGTGACGCATTGAATATCACGACGTTACTTTGACAATGTGTCAGATTGTTCACCAGAGGCAATCAGGTTAAGCTTAGGAACAATAGTTACCAGTCAACTGGTTTGCTTATTGCTGTCATCCAAATTGTGCGTATAGTTTAGAATGGTAGTGTTGTTTTTTAACACTTATGGGGCAGAAGTGACCAGTGTCTGATAGGTAATTTCAAACATCATGTTGGGGGTTTATAAAAGAGGATGAATGCTTTTTAAATCCTTCCCATTTATATTTTGCTTCTGAATACCTTTCGTATTGTATGTTTCGTTTTCCTATTCTTCTTCACGTGTTATTATCGTTATTGGTATGATGGTTTTGGATGTTTCTTCAGTGGGCTTCATTCATGATGGCATTTTATGAGTTGGGTTCCAAATCAGCGTAGAATATGTTTCTTTTTGGACTGTATTCAGTAGATATGTTGAGTGTGGTGTGTAGGATTTGAATGCAGCTTGTATATTTTTCCTACAGCTAAAGCCAACACTACTTTCTGTCTGAAAATATTTCTCATTAGAACCAACTGTTTAATTATTGGCTGAGTACGCTTGTTTGTGATTCGATTAGCGTGCTTGATATACGTGGTTAAGTCTCAGGTAGTGTTTCGATTTGCCGTAGCTGTTGTATTGACTTTCTATTAATTGTTCGCCTTTTTGATACCCGTAGGTGGTGATACCCGACCTTCTTCCAAATCAAACAACTCAGTGAAGAAATAATGTAGTTGCTAATTTTTATGTGAACTGATTGATTTACCAGAGAACTGAAAATTATGTAGTTGAATTGCTTTGAGCTCGCAGGTTGAAACACGTAAATGCAAGTATTAATTGCGTAGAACCAGCTTTCATAAGACCGTCGATAAAGGATTGCTTATCAGAATCAGACATTCCTATCGACAAACAACACTAGGACGGTGTTCTTTTCTCTCTGCAGTTCACGTATGATATAGCTTTCATTTAGCTTTCTTGGCGTCTCCTATTTCCTTAGTCTTTATCATTGAGAACATGAGGCTTCTTGTTCAACAACGATATAGTTATGAGAACTAAATTGTGCTTCGAACGTCATCCAGTTATAAATACTCGATTACAGACTCATGTCAAATAAACATATTTAATATGCAGTCGGTTACATAGTGGATATTGAGTGGTGCAGATCTACGCTTCCCAATAGCTAACAATCGCAGCGAGCAGTAAACTTGTGGAGAAACATCTTCAAGACAAATGTATAAGATATCACTTCATGCGAAGTCGGTAACGTTTGCAAAACAATGAAGCTGAGTGGTTAGTAGTTCACAAGAAGTCGGTATTATGCATCTTGTGATAAAGACTTTATCTAATATTCTTATACCAACAAATCCATATGATAAGACAATCTTCGAACAGGTGTGTGTGTGTGTGTATGCGCATCCTATGGTGATGTGTTTCGACAGGTATGTTGTAGGATCTACTTGGCAGGCCACAGTGTTGGTGCAATAATTCCAACTGGGTTGAATGTCGAAGGAGATTTCCTCGTTAGCTTCATGTTAAGATAACGTGTTTGAAAGTAAGTAGTAGTATCAGTTAATAGATCCTGTTTTATGCTTAACATCCTCATTTTTCTCTTTAGATGGAAGAATATTGATGTTTGTTTCTATACGATTTCCCTCTGGTCAGTAGGCTGGCTATTTAGTGAAATTGAATCCGCCTGTTTTCAGAGTTTGCTCCGACTGGGAACAAATTAGCTGACACTCGTCAAAATAAAATTCTTCCCTAGCTACTTGAATAACAAAGACTCTTATCGAACATATCAGTGTCATCTAGAATGGTCCTTTGTAACGCAAACATGGTGCAACTTCATGAAGAGGTTGATCCATTAGAATGTACTTTCACTCTGTTATCTACTGCTTCCGTCTGCATGTTGCTTCTCTCCTTCAGTCACCACCATAAGAATTTGATAGCACTTTGATGATACAGAGGAACAACTACTTGGTGAAAGATAGCTTCTATGTCTACGATGTTGTGAATTGGTCTGTGCGAAAATCTCATAAAGACGTCCACCAGATTATTCATCAGATCGGGACCAAGGTATAAATTGTTATTCAAAGATGTCCTTGTCCACTGTGATGAGTAGTAGAGTGCAATCCTTGATTTATTAGGCTTTTTATGAGGGAACACTGACTGAGTGGTGCGCTACATGCATACACGGATAAACTATTACTTGTCTTGTCGAACTCAGTCTTATAAAACCAATGAGACGTGGTCTCTGTTTTTTCTGTAGGTGATGTAAACTTCACTATGCTAGTTCCCCCCAAAGAGTTCTACTCTGGAGTCCATGTAACATCCAGCCTAAAGAAGATTTAATAGCACAAGGTTGAATAACTCCACCAAGCGTTTTGTCAATTGTTACATGCACTTCTGGCACCTTACAACCAACTTACATCTTAATCTCTTCATCTTTAACGCTTGTCAGAACTGCACCATGCAAATGGTTCACAAGTGTTTGTAACTGAGTTAGTCCTTAACTGTACATGCCTTTGAAACTTACCTGAGAGGAGGAACCTGCTGGCGAAACCTGTAGTTGTACCCGTCTATAGAATAGAGTGGGATTTTCTCAGTCATCCCTTCTAAACCTATTTATGTAGCTAGATCCTGGCAACGAGCGTTGCATCTGACCCACTTTTCAGTTTGGACAACTTTTTCTTTATGTCCATCTGACACAGGCACTACTGAGAACGCAATCTAACTCGTCACATCGCTTCACTGGTATAAGAAAAGAACTTGGGCACTTTGGTAGAATATAATTCCATCATGAAGTGGATTTATTTGATAAAAGCACACAGTGGTACAGTATTGTTATTTGCTGATGACGTTTTGGAGTACAGTTTGTTCCTTGATTGAGTTTGCACGTTTGAATGCCACCCCAGTAGGCGCTGTATTAAGAATCCTACGTAGGTTTCCAGATGTCCCTTCCTTGTATGGTAAAAGTGTGCACGCCTTAAGTTCTTTGTTATTTGTATTGTCGTCAGCAGTCCCACTACTCTTCTTGCTTTTCTTGTCAGCTTCTGTGGTCGTCTTCATGGATTTTGTTGGATTTTTACCTCGCATCAGCGCTCCTCCTTCCATCTGTTTTGTTTCGTTGGTTAGGTTTTCTGATGCACTACCTTGAGTTGTATTGCTCGGTTAATTAGACACTTAACTATGCCTGCCTTTACAGGTGACGGATGAGATGAATGAAAGCCTAAGTGTCGGTCAGAGTGAGTTGGATTTTTATAAACTCTAGTGCATAGTCTACCTTCTCCTATCCGTTTTTTGTCCTATAGTTTAACATAGCTGGATCTCCTTGTTGATTTTCTGATTTAATTGTAAATTTAGTTTCCTGTACTGTTGAGTTTACATGTGTAAATCAACTGGAGATGTGTTCTGTTTTTGCAACACCGTGAAAGTGTCATCCACACATCTGCACCATATCTCTGGGGTGGAGTTAAATGCTCTAAGAGCCATATTTCTCCAATAACCTATAAAGATATCTGATACAATTGGGGTATTGGTTCCAAAGCCATACTGATTGGTATATTAGTATAAAGACTCGTTATATGAAATCTGACCATTTTTGATTATTCCCCGTCCATCTTCTCTTTATGCTCTACATGCTTGACTGTCTCTTTCATTTCCGTTCTCAATCTCGTCATACTGCACTCTTCTTGAAGGGTCCTAGTCGTGTTGTGCATTTGTTATCGTGGTTTGCCGTTTTGCATCACCTGAAACGGTGACTTCTTTGTTGTTT